AAAAAAAAGAGAAGAGATGAATTCTTCGAAACCACCACACCGATCGATCGCATATACGATGGAAGCCCTGCAACTCGCCCAGCTTATCTTTTTCCAAGATGGTTGGAATCGCAAATCCATGGAGGATGGCACTCGTCATGCTTTTTCTCCAGATTACGACGCGAGACGATTCGTCGGACCCCAAGACAACGACACAGCAGAGTATCTCGCCAAGCATCTTTCCTCCATGTGCCACTATACACTCGAGACTGTTCTCGACTATCCCATCATGAGAGGAGAAGGACTCGAAAACAAGGCCATTATTCTCTTGTATCCAAAAGGGTCGGACATTCCCTGTGCCTTTAACGTGGCATTCTTTTGGTACCTCCAAGATGGAACTCCCTGCATCCATTACGGACTCTTCATTGTCACGCCCAAACATCAACGCAAAGGAATCCAGTCACCCATGGGGTTTGTCAATATCTATTTACTCCTCAAAAAGATGAACGCTCGCACCGTTTGGGTCACAGATCTGGGACGATCCGCCAGTGGATCGCGCCATTTTGTCAACTTCATGTCCCAGGTCTATCCACAGCCCAAGATTGATCACAAAGACGTTGACGAAGCAAAGAAACATGCCATTCAGTTGCAAGTAGCACAGGAATTCCATCAACGATTCCAAAAGGATGCCGGTATTTCGCCGCAGTCCAAGCTACGTGGCATGGTCATTCAAGGAAGCAACCAAGCGGGTGGCGCCGTGGCGCTGGTCAGTGCCAATGCATCGACACGATCCCGTCAGTCGGAATACAATCAATGGATAGATACAATGTGTCCCGAGCCAGAGGACGAAGTCATCATGGTGGGACAGTTCAATATTGGGCAATGGATTGCCCGCGAAGTGAGCAAGAAGCTGTGGTAAATGTGGTTGCTGCTGTTGCTTCTGCTCGCGTTGGCTGCAGGTATCATCATTGCGATTCGATGTGGTGCCGCTGAACTGGACCCAGCTAGCTTGTAGGCTGGCGGTTCAGATTGTTCTCGATATGAACGTTGGCCGTCCTCTGCTTCAAGGCGGCTTCTTTTTCTCAGATCCTTGTAGCGGTCTCAAGTGGACCTATTTTAGTTGATATGCAAATGTTATACTTGCTGTTCCATTGTGGTTTTCTGTACCGGTATACCTAAACATAGCATGATTCTCCTATACACAAACCCAGTCCCCAAGTCCAACGAAACTTGTGCATCTAAGGTCGATATGGAACCAGAAGGTTCTGGGCATGGCCATGTGGTAGATAGGCTGTGGCCATGGATCATGGCTTCATTGAGAGGGACTCTATATGACAATCCATGTCACAATGCCTTGATTACAGCATGGAGGTTGTGGCAGATTGTGTGTCCCCCATAGTTGGGGGTTGGTGAAATGAGTATGTCACTGCCCAGCACAGACTACAACAGCAACCTGTTTTGAGAGGCACTTCTGGACAGAAGCTGCATAGCCATTGAGAGCTGGTACCTTCACATGTCGTTTCTTCTTCTTGGTCAGGGGGGTGTTCCATAGTACTAAATGAGTAAATGTTGGATCCAGCAATGCCACAGGGAAGAGCCTGTTGCATCACAGACCTGGTCTTTCCTTCATTTGTGGTGGCTGGCACCTTCCAGAGGAGAAACGTCCATGGTTTTGTACGATGATAGGAGACAATGGGTTTGGTATACACACACCAAAAGAGCTAGCTCGTGAAAGATGCAAAATCACAAATAATGTAGTGGATATACAGTTGTTACTGTGTGCAACGAGTGCTGTTTCTCCTTCCTTGCCTCAAATTGCATGGATTCTACTGTAGGAGCTCCCGGGCAGCATGCTCTTTTCCTTCCTGTTTCTTGCTTGGAACGGTGCCCTTTTTAGAACATAATTGGCAGTTTCAACACCCCCCGAACATCAGCATGGACACCACCACAGAGGGCAGCAAAACAAGATTGGAGCAACGTGCAAATGCACCAGAACATTTGTTGGTTCCCGTCAATGTCAAGGACTGTGGATCCACCTTTACTGTCACTGTTTCGTCCACCGGATTCTTTTCATTGCAGTCAGCACTGGTGGAGAGTGTGACATTGGTACAACTGGTGACAGTCACATCGGAGGAAGTGCTGGCCTCAATTTTCCCCCATACAGATCCCGTGACTTTGAGATCTGCCGAGGTTCCCACATTGATCACAGTATTCTCTAAGAGACTGCCCTCAATGGTGGCATCAGAACTGGTAGTCACATCGCAGGTGGCGGGTCCTAGCAAATTTCCCTTCATTTCCAAGTCGCCAGATGTTGCCACATTACAGGAACCAGTCAAGTCTCCCTGATAGTCAAAATTCGCAGATGTACTGACATCCAATCCGGTAATGGGTCGACCCGAGAGGAATTTCATCTCTGCCGACGTGGTCACGTCGACCTGGAGCGATGCCTCGCCCACAAGTGTACTCCCATCAGCCGTGAGTTTGGCACTGGTGGATGCGGAAAGTGAAAAAATTTTGGTAAATCCGGGGAGAATTTGGACTTCTTCGCTGGTAGCGGCCTGTACTCCCGAGAGCTGGTCATACGGCATGGTGATGAGGACACCTCCTTATCTTGGGCAGAGGGTCCCATATCTTGGTTGTAGGTAAACGTCAAGAATTCATTGTCCACACTGGCAGTCACGAGATTGGCAGGGTACGTCTTGACTTCAAGGCTACTAGTGCTGTTGGCTTCACTGGGTCGAATGGTGAACATGGTCTTGGGAATATCAAATTTTGATCCACCACAGGATCGTGCAATGCGAATGCTGGTCACAGAGGAAACATCGGGAAGAGTCAGAGCCACAAAATCACTTTCTTCGGCAGCCCTGACTATGGCAGTCAGAGCCAACAGCAACAACAACAAGAGACCAGAGAGAGTCGACAAACATAGTTCACGTTGTTCCTTGCTTTCCTAAAAGTATGGAGACTTGACTCAACACCTGTCAGCATGGATAATAATAGTGGAGGACCCAAGCAAGGGAGGTCATGGCTGCACGATTGCATGATGGAAACAATGCGAACGGTAAACGATATCCAGAGGGAATGTGCGACCAGCGGTATGTACCACGATTAACTATAAGCCGGCTACGCTATTAACCAATTGATATGCCTCCTGGCTCGTCTCCGTTTCCATAAATCTTTTATTACCAACACCTAGTATTTCGCAAGCGCTCCGCGCGCTCATCCTTTTCTTTTTGCTTCGCCCCGAAACCGATTCATGCGAAACTTGTGTGAAAGGCGAGGCGACTTTTATGTGCATGTACATGCGTTGACTGTATCCCGTCAATACAATACTAGTCGAATACGTAGACTTCTACAGAGGCCTCTAAGTAATGCGCGCGGGGTATAATTCAAACCTCCACTCCCCATCGGTACCCTTACCCCTAAAAGCAAATCGTCTCCGGGAGACGAAATTGGGTTCGCTACCTGTCAGGTCCACGGATTGAAGGAACAATGTTCCTGACACCGGTTTGTCTGCACCACAGTCCCAGGCTGATGGATGCCGTCAGTCTAGCTGTTAGCTGGTACGGTACAGTCGTACTAATAGAGCTAGGTAGAGTACGCTTCTACCGAACTGTATACAAGTTCACGAAAAACCAATTCCTTAAATTATAGAGGGGAATCAAAGTATTTTCAACTTGATTCATTCAAAATATTACACAAAACCCAAACAACCTTCTACCTTTCCATCACCAACTTTCTGCAGAGCTATCTACCCCCTTCTTGACTCCCTTCTTTGTCGTTTGGGGGCAGGTGGATCCAATGAAGATCGTTGTCCTTCCCTGGATTTTAGATTTCTTGCCAGGACCGTAGCCAAGTCGTCAGTGGCATCTGCTCGGTGCCATTCCTTGGATTTTATATTTCTTGCAAGGACCGTAGCCAAGTCCTCAGTGGTATCTGGAACAGTGGTATCTGGAACAGTAGTATCTGGAACAGTAGTATCTGGAACAGCGGAATGTGCCGCATCAGGAACTTGAAGTTGTCCTTCGCCGGACGTGGCACATTGTCCAATGCTCGCCCCAGCTTCGAGAGGCAAACCTTGGGCTAGCATTCTTGACCTTTGCATCGAAAGCATTGAATTATATGGATTGGCCCAAGGTTGGGCTAGGTGTATCATGGATGAAAGCGGGTCGTTGCTCGTTGCGGGTAGGTACTGTGGCCATACCGGTACCGAGGAGAGCCGAGCGTTTGCAATCATGGAGGCCCGGGGGACGGGCAAAAGGGGATCCCTCGATGCTGGAATGAAAGGGTCACGAAATGGATCTTGAGGAAGGACTGCGGACGCTGTTGCACGCTCGATACTGCGAGATGCACCCTTGATACCGTCAGTTGCACCCTTGATACCAACAGTTGCCTGTTTTGTTGTCTTGTCGTCAGTTGCCTGTTCCTGACTTTGTTTTGACGAACTTGGCGACGATGGGATGTCTTTGATGACGGGCTTGGGTTTCTCTTCGTACAAGAAAAACTGGGCTCCACGGGATGACCTGTCGTCCTTGTTTTGCAAGAAGACAACGGCGTCTTCAAATTTCAACCTGAGTTTCTCGAGTCGCTCTCTCCGCTCCTTCAACTCTTTGCCGCTAAAATGAACGGCGGGCTCGTAAAGGAGTCTTCCATTGTAGTCGGAATTTTCCATCTTTTTGGAGATCCTCTTGGGGATGCAACGTAACTGACCTGCGAGATAACTGCGCATCGTGGTTCCTTTCTTAATCGGAACTGATCCTGCTCTGAACTCTTTAACCATCGCCAGCATGAACTCCATTTCCTCGTCGGACCACGTACCACCTCGCAAGTACACTCCTTTACTCTTACCTTTTTCTTCAGATTCCATTGTTCCTCTCGTCGATCCGGTTGTTCCAAATGTCACGGATTCAGTCTTCTGGACGACCTGGTCCTGGTCCTTGGTGGGTGATACGCTGTTACCGGTGCTGTGAAACTCTTTCTGGTGCAGTAAAAGTTGGTTTGTGTCAAGAATACAGATTCGCGTAGGTTAGGTAACACATTGTTTATGAAACTATTTCATTACCCCATCTCTGTACATCCATCAGAATTCTCAGGCGGTTACTGACGTGTTATTGGATACCGTACTCCCTGTACCGTGAGAGGGATCTGCCCTCGATCAATAAGCTCATAACCAATTCACGTGAGCAGGGGTGAAAAGCCTTCACCGACCAGTTTACACCCTAAATCGTCGCTAAAAACGCCTCAAAAAAGAATTAGTTACCGGTCCACCGGTACCTCTCAAAGATTTCGATCCACCACTCAGAGATTTCATGGACCCGTACTCTCCATCATTGGCAATCTAGAGAGCCAGTTCACTGTGAGTAGCTGTGCATGTACCGGTACCGTCCACTTGTGTTCCCTCTCTTCGGCTCCTACTAGCTATCAGTTAGTAGGAACCCGCATCACACCTTCTACCTACCCTTGCGTGCTATGGTATCCCTGGATCCCCAAATCCTCTCCCGTGTTTTGGAGCAATAGAATCTAATAAGTGAATTGGTCTACTTATTACTTGTTTTTCGACCTCTTGCTTCTGTTCTACGAAGACAGAGGAACGATTAGTCATGTTTACTATAGCAAATACAGTACTATACTACCTCTGTAGCGTGCAAGTACAAATCCTACAGCCGTGTAGAAAGCCTAACGTGCAACGTACATAACGTTGCACGTAGGATCCTACACGGCTGTAGAAAGCCTAAGTGCACTAGGTATGTAGCCCTCTACACGCTTGCACGTAGAGCGGGCGACTGACGTCAGTCAAGAACGGTGCGCGCGAATCGAGTCGTGTCACACCTATTTTTAAGATAACACCTATTTTCTTCCCACCCTTGTTTTAAGATACTTCGAAAGGGTACGAATCGTACATAACAAATGTCAACCGGACCTACATGTACTTGTACACAATCCCCTCTGGAGTGCATTTGACTGGTGACTTTTACGGGTACCACAACTCAAAAACATGTGCAACTAAGATGCCTTGCCCAGACAGCTTAACCCTCCCTCCTTCTCCCCCCTGGACCCCTTCAACTAATCACTTTTACGGGTACCACAACTCAAAACATGTGCAACTAGATGCTCTTTCCCAGACTAGCCTAACCCTCCTCCTTCTCCCTCTGGAGCCCCTTCAACTAATCACTTTTACGGGTACCACAAATCAAAACATGTGCAACTAGATGCCTTTGTCCAGACTTGCTTAACCCTCCTCCTTCTCCCCCCTGGAGCCCCTTCAACTAATCAACTTTTAACGGGTACCAACAACTCAAACCATGTCAACTAGATAGCTTTGTCCATACTAGCTTAACCCTCCTCATTCTCCCCTCTGGAGCCCCTTCGACTGATCACTTTTACGGGTATCACAACTCAAAACATGTGCAACTAGATGCTCTTGCCCAGACTAGCTTAACCCTCCTCCTTCTCCTCCCTCTGGAGCCCCTTCCAACTAATCACTTTTACGGGTACCACAACTCAAATCAGGTGCAACTAGATGCTCTTGCCCAGACCAGCTTAACCCCCCTCCTCCTTTCATCTGGAGCTTCAACATCAATCACGCCTTTTACGGGTACCCACAACTCAAAAACATGTGCACCTAGATGCCTTTGTCCAGACTAGGTTAACCCTCCTCCTTCTCCCCTCTGGAGCCCCTTCAACCAATCACTTTTACGGTTACAACAACTCAAAACATGTGCAACAAGATGCTCTTGCCCAGACCAGCTTAACCCTCCTCCTCTCCCCTCTGGAGCCCCTTCAACTAATACCTTTTACGGGTACCACAACTCAGAAAACAATGTGCAACTAGATGCCTTTTGCCAGACTAGCTTAACCCTCCTACTTCACCCCTCTGGAGCCCCTCCAACTAATCACTTTTACGGGTACCACAACTCAAAACATTTGCAACTAGATGCTTTTGCCCAGACTAGCTTACCCTCCTCCTTCTCCCCTTTGGAGCCCCTTCAACTAATCACTGTTACGGGTACCACAACTCCAAAACATGTGCAAATAGATGCTCTTGCCCAGACTAGCTTAACCCTCCTCCTTCTCCCCTCTGGAGCCCCTTCAACGAATCACTTTTACGGGTACCCAAACTCAAAACATGTGCAACTAAATGCTCTTGCCCAGACTAGCTAACCCTCCTCCTCATCCCCTCTGGAGCCCCTTCAATAAATCACTTTTACGGGTACCACACAACTCAAAACATGTTGCAACTGATGCTTTTGCCAGACTAGCTTAACCCTCCTCCTTCTCCCCTCTGGAGCCCCTTCAACTAATCACTTTTACGGGTACCGCACAAATCTCAAAACATGTGCAACTAGATGCTCTTGCCCAGACTAGCTTAACCCTCCTCCTTCTCCCCTCTGGAGCCCCTTCAACTAATCACTTTTACGGGTACCGTTCTACGCAGAAGCCATTCTTTCAAGTCAAAGTTATTTGGGATTAATAAGTGCCAGTCATGCCATTTGTTGAAAAAATCTGCTCCTTCTTCTTGTTTGTTTCGCGTTCGTACCATCACAGCCAACGCCCACCTTGCTAGTTTTTCGGTACAGTCGTAGTTTTTAGACCTTCGAGGACCAATCCCAATCTTTTTCTCGAATAGCTTCACATAATATCAGCTTCCGACCGGTAGGCAGAATTTGATACTGCAGGAGTGAACCTTCGGCTGCAGACTTCTGTTTCAAGCGATTTGTAACTGACCTGCAAATAATCAAGTTTCTCTTCTGATCAACTCTCTGCCCTGAAATTGCCATCCTGACAGCTGTTATTAAGTTAATCTACACCGTACTGTACGGTACCGCTACCAATACGTGTGCATGTCGCCAGCTGACGAAGACGCACAACTTTAACTATGATGACGCACAACTTCAATCAACGGAACATCACGAGATCACGGAAGGGCCGAAGACCAAAAAGACGGCACGAAAAAGTCACGGCGCTCCCACCATGCTACAGTATGGAGCCTGGACACTGAAACCATGGATGCGAACAGCTCGGGGACAACCACAAAACGCAGCAATGCATTCTTCATTCTCCTCTCTACTATCATTATCCATCAAAGCACCTCCCAACTACCTGGTATAGAAAAGTCTGGTTGGACCGAATGATCCATCATGTCGGTTTTGGTTGCCCTAATAGAAGAGAAGAAAGACTGTGATTGCATGCCAAGCCCAAGCCCAAGACAGCAAAGAAGGCGAAGAAGAGGACAAAGAATGACCATTGCGAGATCATGGAGTTCCCAGGCATTATTGCTGTGCCTATTACTACTGATGGACGTGTCGTTTTGTCTTCCATCATCCGTGGATGGCTCTAGTCTATTCCGTCCTCCGATACCATATGATTGTGAGCCTTGTCTGGATCGAACCGATGCTACCCTCGTGGCATTTTTGCCAGAATCCCCTACCTTTAGTACCACTACCAGTAGCACTGGTAGCAATACTGAAGCCAGTCAACAAATGGCTTATGCCATGGAGGAAGTGGCTCGATCTATGAATGTCCAACTGCAGGTAGAGATCTTTCCAGAAGAATCACTCATGGTCCAAGCCATACTAGATTTGGCACAAGAACACTCACGGCAGCAAGCAAGCAGTACTGGTAGCAGTGGGAAGAGAATCAGTGCCTTGATGATCAGTATCCCCACTCCCACAATCTACCAAGCCGTAATACAGGCACTGGAAATCACAGACCAGAAATTGCCCATTTTGGGACTCCATATGGGACATCAGTACTTTGATATATCACCTTCACCACCAACAAGCAGTCTCCTCAATTTTGTGGGAATGGATGAACTGCAGTCTGGAAAAGCCACCGGCAATCGCATCAAGTCGCAATATTGGAAAAAGGATACCAATACCACTGTCCGAAGAGTTCTCTACGTCATTCCATCTTGGGCGGATGCCAACAACAACAGTCTTTCCCATCAAATTCAACAACGATTGCAGGGACTGAAAACCTCTTTTGCAGCTCATGTCTCCAATGTCACACTCGATACCATTGTAGTATCCAGTATCAGTGACACGACTATAGATAGCTGCTCGTATGATGCCATTGTACTCGCCGACAAGTCACTCCTTTCCAGTGCCATTCCAACTCTTACCAATGACAACTGCCAACAAGTATTGTCCACCTTTGGCACCAACACACAAGTCTACAATGCCATTTCCAGTTCTCAGATAGAATTCACCATTGGATCTGATTACTATCTCATGGCATCCCTCACTGCCACATTGGCTGGACTCTACGCCACCACGGGAACCACACTCCTGCCACCCACTGGCACAAATAAAAAGTACTACACGGTCGCACCCCGCATCCTTCACGTCAACAATCTGCAACAGGATGCCATTCGAGCATGTGAAGCCATCGGATTTCCCTCGTGTCAAAATACAGAGAATGACGACGTTGTATTGAACGCTGGCTGTGTCTGCCACGATCGCTCGGTGATTCGCATTGCCGCCGTTTATCAAAACAATCCCGTCTTTCAATTGCCCATTGCTGCTGCACGACAAGCGGGACGCGATCTGGGAATTACACTATTGTTGGATCCACTCGATTTGCGAGGAACACGAGAGGAAAAGGATTTCGCCTATGCCGAAAAGATTCGTGCCCTCTGTCAAGATCACGTCGATGGAATCATTACCACCATACGAGACGAGTCGATTGCCGAAGCCGTGGCATTTTGTCAATCCTTGAACATCCCCGTCGTGGCGCTTACTCCCGTCATTCCGGCCGCCAAGGATATATTGACGGGCACTATTCCAGTAATGGGACTGGATGACTTTCATGCCGGATATACCATGGGACAAGTATTGTTGGAACGGGGGGTCCGGTATGGAGTTTGTATGAATTGGAAAAATGCAGTCCAGTTACAGCCACTCTGTGATGCATTCGAATTGGCCATGATCGAGGGTGGGGGTACCTATCTGGGGGTCATTCATGGCAAAGCCGACAATCGCATCCTCAATCGTGATATCATTGAACAGTTTATTCAGCCCAAATTGAATGATACTACGAGAAGTACCAGTGGCACGACCAACAACATGACTCGTTGGGAGCATGTGGGCATTTTCATGCAGGGCAGTAACTTTGTGTCGGGGGCTACCTTTGCACAAGAATCGCATCCGGGATTGGTGTTGGGCGTCATTGAACGAGATGAAGTCGTCTACGAGGCATTGCGACAAGGCAAACTCGTGGCGACATTGGATCAACAGCATTATTTGCGTGGATACTTGCCTGTGGCATTGCTCACGTGGCTGCGACAAACGCGACAACAACTATCGACCCAATTTCTGCCCACGGGTCCCATTGTAGTGAGAGATGCGCCTGGACCTGGTGAGACTATTTGCCGAGAACAGTTCTTTCCCGTCTGCCCGGAATATCAGGAAAAGAATCATCTCGGACGTGGGATTCGAGGAGTGGGATACTGTATCTATGCCTTTATTCTCGTCGTGGCAGGCGGGTTGATGTACTGGGTTCATGTCAATCGAGATGAACGGATTGTCAAGGCATCCCAACCAGGTAAGTGAAAACGAAACTCTTGCATTGAACCCATCTCGACGCCATGCCGCTCATAGGTCGCTCTCTCCTGCATCTCGCAGAGTTCCTGATTGCCATTTGTTTTGGATGTGTCGTCTTGGCGTCGGCTATTATTCCCATGAGCTTGGACGATGGCGTTCTGGAAGAGGATGGAGGGTGTGTGGGCTGTACCTGTGCAGGTTGCGATGTAGCCTGCATGTCGTCCCCATGGCTCTATGCAATGGTACGTGTGCATTGAAGGAGTTGTACTATTGCTTGTGCCACCGAACCCATAAAGGAAAGCTCACCCGATAGCCCACTTCGAATCTCTCCTTCCTTCTTATTAGGGTTTCGTAATCATCTTTGCCTCTCTGTTCAGCAAGATTTGGAGAATGAATCGGCTGATCAGTGGTGCCGCCCATTTCCGCCGTCTCAAGCTGTCAGCCAGGGACGTGATCGTTCCATTGGTTGTGTTGCTGTCTCTTAATCTCATCTTTCTTGTGGTTTGGACAGCAGTCGATCCCATGTATTGGGAACGGGGACGACGATGCGGTGCGGATGAATTCACTTCCTATGGGGTTTGTAGAATCGGCAAAACGAAAGTTTCCGTTGTCATGGGCTTGCTTGTCATCCTGGTCGATTCGTTGGCCCTCTTCATGGCCAATTACCAGGCCTACAAGGCACGGAACTTTAGCACAGAGTATAGCGAGTCCAAGTACATTGCTTTGGCTATGATGTGTATCCTTCAAGTTCTTATGGTTGGGGTTCCCTTGAGCTTTCTGGTGACTGACAGTCCACCGGCGTGGTTCTTGATACGTGTATTCATTGCGGCCATTGTCACGTTGTCCGTACTCTTGTTGATGTTCATCCCAAAGATTCAGAAGCTCAGAGAAGCTACGGAGAAGAAACGACAATCCCTGAAACGGCGAGAAGAGGCGGCTCAGAATGCATATCTACAAGGAGTACCGGGCGAGGACATTGAAAGAGTTTCCAATGGTTCCGTAAGAAGCGTTTCGAGCTCGATGTCCAGTTCCAGTCAAAGGTCCGGGCTCAAGATTCGGAAAAGGATGGTTAGCTTGGCTCGACTTAGTTGGCAGCCTGAGGAGCTCGTCGCCGCGGGCTTGGCTCGTTTTGGTCGGAAACAGGAGAATAGCACCACCAAATCTCCCACGGTAGACGAAACCCTTCGAGCATACCAGTCGGGCGCGACAGGCGACACGCATCGTGTTGCATCGAGCATAACTATTGATGGAATTGGATCCCAACACAACCGCAGCAATCCACACCTTTTGGGCGATATCAACGAGAGTGATGATGATGTTGTTAAATCCGATTCGGACGGCGACGACGACAACGACGACAAGGCAGAGGAAGAAGACTACAGAGATGAAGGAGAGGGCTTGCGCCTTTCTGTGTCCAACCGAGCAATGGTCCCTCTTGCCGACAACGACGACACAGCGGGTGGCGATCGGGACGGTTTGCGTGTTTCTGTCACCAAGGACGCGGCTCCAGATATGTTCCTTGCCCAGGACGTTGACAACGAACAACCCACCGTGCCCCATCAAACTCAAGAAGACTCATCGCAGGGTTCAAAGAGGCCCCTGGCCCGCGATGGCGGCATGGACGGTCTTGATGACGGTCATGTTCCGAGGGAAACAGCGCCCCTCGTTGTCGACACGGGCAATACGATTGAAGAGAGTAGTGATGATCACCGCCCGCACTCATCATCAGACGTCGTCATGATTGTTGACGAATCAAAGGATGTGTCGACGTTGATCGACACCGGTACTGGAGGGGTTTCCATTCTTGATGGAACTCCTGCCACCAATGGCGAACATGGAGTGAAAGACGACGTTGATACGGACGACGACGAGAACTAGCTAGGGCATACGGCAGCAGGCAGGCATCACCAAAGCGCCTAACCCTTCGACATCTCGATTAGAAAAGACACGACACGTTATGGACCGTACCCAGTTACGTCGAGGCAGTTGCCGTTGCTTCAACATGGACGGATCTTTGCGAACATGACGACAGAAGGAAACCTCTCCAGTGCTGATAGACTCTGTGCACTGTCACAACTGGAAATGCATAGTTCTTAAAAGGGAGGTATTGGCTATCTCGCCACCTCAAAGGTGGATGCCGTACCCCCGGACTAAGTTTACAATGTACGAAACAATAATTGCAGACCCTTGCAAACACGCGACGATGGGCGATGAGCCGGCGCCCAGGCTTTGTAAAGGTCAAAACACGTGAATGAATACCTCGTCTTGAAAAAACGAACAAAAGTGACCTCACAGTTTCAGCCATATCGTGGCCAATACAATCAATAGCCAGTGTTTGTTTCTCGCATTCCTGTGCTTTGTTTTTTCGCACCAAAGAGAAATGGGTGGATGTATGGATGCAATCAAAACAAAACTCATAGACCAGCCATATCAATCGAAGGAAGATTGGTGAAACGACCAACCAATAGTCGATTCGATTCGATTCAAGTATGCTTCCCTTCGATTTGTCGTCGATTGCAGATATATTGTCATTGCTTGCAACGGATACAATATTTTGCAAATTGCGTTGTCGGAGTTTGGATCCATATTTCGTTCCCTTTTCAACTTTTCAGTTGCTCGCCCGTGCGTGTAATAGGGCAAACGTTGATTGAAAGTGCCAGGCACTGTAGCACCCAACGCAACCATGCCAGTATATACACCAACATGGATGCATGCTGATTGCGATGTGTTCTCGTTTCCTTTTTCCATCCTTGTGTGTATTGTTGCTTTTGTATTTATTGCTTGCTTGCTTGCTTGCTTGCTTGAACAGTGTCAATAAAAAACGTAGTAGACGACAATGGCCGGAACGAGACTTAGTAGGATGAGTGGAATGGCGGGTTTGATTTCATCGAGAAAGGAGGGTGTTTTGACTTTATCTTTTTGTGGGAGCAACAATCGATAGAATTTGTAGGCATCATCTTCAAATTCGTGTACGCCGGTGACTGGCACAAACAGATTGTATTTTTGTTGGAGTAGTCGTCCAATTTCGACGCATTCCGCTCTCGTATGGGCCATTTTGTGTTTCATCATGAGATCGACGGCTTCCTTTCCAATAAAGCATTGTTTGTACGTGGTCAATCGGTACGACCGATCCTTGACACGAACACCCCGCTGAAAGACGCGCATTTTGTCGTCCAAATTCTGTTTCAGCAATTCGTCCGTCTTGCCGCGTGTTCCGGCCGTGGCGTTGGTGACGAATTGATAAAAGAAGCGTTTGTCGTCTTGGAGTTCATGGTGAGCAGGATCATGATGTTTCGCATTGACGCATTCAAACAAATTCATGTTGGTTTGCAGGAGCCTGCCAGCTTGCAAGGCTTCGTCGCGACTCTGGAAGCGACCCAATTGCTGGAGAATCTCTACGGCTTCGTCGCCACAAAACACATTGCGGTACTTCTTGCGGGTCCTTTTGCATTTGCGATCGGAAAGGCCCACGCTGAATTGCAAAGCTTGGGCCAGTTCGTCCACTATTTAACAAGGGTAGAAGAAAGAAAGAAAGAAGGGTAGCAATGGGTATATGAGAAAGGATAGGTTTTCAAAGATAAGATATTTATTGGATGAGACAAGATAAGGATCACCTGTCTTTTTCTTCGTCTGCCTTAGTTAACTCATCATCTTATAGCTTATGCATACAGTATGCTTAAGCCGACTTACGCTGCTGCTGTGTCATGTGGATACTTCCAGTTCCATTCAAATCTGCATTGGCGGCTTCCCGGGCCGCCGAAGTGGTCGAATGCGCAAATGTTACACCACGAGACATTCTTTCCTACTACCGTACTGAATGTAAATAAGAGGATAAGATGGTTTTATAAAAAGGCAATGAGATACAGTGGCAATCTATTGCATGGATTGGTTACACCATGGAGGCAATGATGGCGTGGGGGTTCCGTTCTGGTGTTTGTGCTTTGATTCTTGGTGGTTTTTACTTCCGGTTCTCAACTCTCAACGGTCCAAGAAAAGATTCTTCTCGAAGATTCGATTGATCGCTCTGGTGACAGGAACATCAGATAGATAGATGACGTGAGCCGTTCGAAGCTTCAATCGCACAGTTCCTCTGGCTGGACTTGGGAAAGATTGGACTTTTGGGTTCTCCCTGAGCTTCTTTTTGGTTCAGCTGTACCATACGGTACTAGCTAGTACTACATGTAGCGACATGTAGCTATTTTAAAACAGTATGTCCATTGTCCATGCAATCCTGTGTGCAGAGATAGACTAGGGTGCCGCGCGAGTTCTGGCGAGAAAACCTGGCAAGTTGGGCAATCGCGCAAAACCCTGCGGTAGAAATCGCGGGAAAGATCAACCGTCAAGAGTCAAGAGTGCTCTTTCCTGCATGCTTATTTGCACTCTCGCAGAGTTGGCGACTTTTTCACGACGACTGATTCTTGCTACTACTGCAAGCTGTGTTCCGCCCTGCAGTGCATGGTTTTCCTGGAGATCTTGTGGTACGTAGTCTCTCCACGCAAGGCACAGGACCAATTTTAGCCCCCTTTCCAACAACTCACAATTACCAATCTCTGACAACTCCCAACAACTATAAAGCTAAAAGAATCAATCAACGATAAGGCATAGCCACTCCTAGCTAGGATACTAGACTATACACGAACATCCAAGCACGGTTCTGAAGAAACATTGGATTCGATTCATTCGAGATCTCCGAGAAACGACAGTCATTACCTGGTATTCTCTCCCACGCCTCAAGTTTATAAGATAGCAACAACGCGAAATAAGTTTATCAACTCTCTCTGGTCTCTGCTGTTTTTGCTGTTGGCTCTCACTGCCATTGCCAGTGCAGCTGAAGAAAGCGACTTTGTGGGTCTGACTCTTCCCGATGTTTCCTCGGTGACCAGCATTCGCATCGCACGATCCTGTCCAGGAGGATCATCCTTTGACTATCCCAAGACCATGTTCACCATTCGACCTGGTGCTGCAATTGAAGTCAAGACGTACCCTGCCAATCTTGTGACAGCCAGCGTGGAAAATGAATTCTTGACATTCACCTACCAAGATGTAGGACCCAACACCCAAGAGGGAGGTGTACTCATCACTTTCCCGGCCGACTTGCTCTGGGATGTACGGGCGGAATCCGAGCAAGTCGTCCAAGTTCTCCCCGGATTTAACGACATCTTTGCCTTCTTTGCATCCACCAGTTCCTCACTCACGGTCGATGGGAGTACACTTCTGGGTGAAGAAAATCTCCTGGTCGATGTTGGTCAAGAGGCCAACATGCAATTCCACTCTGGTCGACCCATTACCGAATTGGATGTCAGTACATCTGCTAAATTCTACTATCAGGGAGACTTGACCGGTAGTGGTGCCTGCAGTGTCAGTACTTCCGGCAATTTGGAAATGAAAGGAAATTTGGTAGGACCCGCCACCTGCGACATTAGTACCAGCTCCCATGCTACCATTGAGGGCGATCTCTTAGTGGGTACAATGACCAATGTGGGAACCTCGGGGAGTCTCACAGTCATGGGATCCATATTGGGCACAGTTGACGCCAGCATTGGGGCGACTGTGACCGCCGCCAGTTGTGCCAATGTCGCACTCTCCTTCGATGGTACCTGCAGCGACGAAAATGTGGTAGACAAAACAGTGACAGTCAACGTGGATACACAGCCATTGACATTGATGGGTACCGAAACATGTTGCCAAGTCAATGAAGTATGCGTAACCAGTTCATCCACATCCAGTTCATCCACAACCACCACATCCAGTTCATCCACAACCACAATCACCACATCCGGTGGAGTCACAACCACCACATCCACATCCAGTGGATCCACCTCAGGTGGAATCCTGACGTTTCCACGTTCCTACAATCTCTTATTGCTGCCATCCGTGATGGTTTCCATGCTGATGTTCGGGATGTGGTAAGACAGCCGCAGACTCGTATATGTTCCAAGCAAAAACAGGAAGGAAAGCAAATGCTGGCAGGACCTCTGTAACAACGTACTGTAGAATCTGTGCAATTCGAGGAAGGAAGAAAGAACAACACTCTTCGCACACAGTGACAACTAACTGTATATCCATTACTATTGGTGTGCATCTTTCACTAGCTAGCTTGTTTTATCTGTGTATACCAAATCCATTGTCTCCGATCATCACACCAAACCATGACATTTCTCCTGCCAGCCACCACAAATGAAGGAAGGAATGCATGGGTCCGTGATGCAACGGGCACCTCTACCCCATTGCATTGCAGCAATTGCTGGATTGTCCTACGAGCATACGAGGATACAACTGCCACTATAGGGGACACTCCCTTGACCAAGAAGAAGAAAGCGCCAAGCAGCCCATGAAGTCAATGGCACCAGCTATCAATGACTGTGCAGCTTCCGTCCTAAACACCTCTCCAGAAGGGTTGCTGTTGCAGTCTGTGCTGGGCATTGACATACTCGTGGAGCCAATACCCCCAACTAAAGGGAACCCACAATCTTCCACAGCCTCCAGGCCATCATCAAGGCATTTTATGACATGGATTGCTCATGTGAAGTCCCTCTCAATGAAGCCATCCTCCACTTGTAGCTATTCCACAACATCCATCTATCGGTCCTCCATTTCTTGCCCCAGATCCCAGGGAACCTAGTCCTGAATTTCGCCTCTTCTTTGCTTAAGCCTGGCCAGGCCTGGCTGGCTTCGGTACGTAGATAATCCACCTACTCTAGATCCCGTCCCTCTTTATACCCGTAGACCAATGACAGTTCGACTCGGTTCGATTCATCATTCATTCGATTCGATTCAAAGCTCGCCC